ATTCTTGGGAGAAGTTCGATGAGGTGTGGGAGTCGAATTTCCATAGGCAAACAAAGTATTCTGGCAGACCTTTCGCCGGCTCCTAGCTGAAAAGAATGACAGTCTCAGAGTCTTGAAGAACAAGTCTGGACACCCTGTTGCTAAGGATGAGAACATTCTTCAGCGAAGGAGAGAGTATTTTGAGGAACCCCTTAGCTCTGAACAACCGCAGGAAGACTCGCCTGTAGAGCAGCAGGGAGGATATTACTCTCTCTGTAGATGAAATTACACCAGCTGTGAAAAGCTTGGAAAATGGAAAGGCTGCTGGAATTGATGAAATCCGCCTGAAATGCTCAAGGCATTAGGCGAGCAAGGCATTTGCTGGCTCATACTTGTCCCTCAAACTGCAGTGACTACGGGTAAGACACCAGTGGACTGGAGAACGGGAGTTTCTGTACCCCCGTTTAAGAAGGAAGGGAGACCACAAGGAATGCTCCAGTTGTAGGTACATTATGTTATTGAGCCGCCCAGGTAAAGTCTACGCTAAGATGCTCTAAAGGCGGAGCTGCGGAATAACTGATTCCAAGATGCTAGAAGTGCGGTGTGGCTTCCGGCTCTTTCGAACCACTTCTGACCATGTATTTGCCCTGCGCCAGACTGTTAAGAAATGGTGGAAGTACGCCGGCCCGGTTTACATGTGTTTTGTTGGCCTAGAAAAGCGTATGGCCGGATCCCGCGTTTTTAATCATGCCTTCGAGCATGCGGCATAGGTGGCCAGCTGTTACGGGCCATTAAATCACTGTATTCTGATAGAAGGCGCTGCTTCATAGTAAATGGCGTAAAGTTGAAACACTTCAACGTTGGCACTGGTTTCCGCCATGGGTGCGTTCTGTCCCCTTCCTGTTTGTATTGTACATGGATAGAATTGTCAGGCACAGTTAGGATGATGAGTGCGTCGGTGTAGGAGACGTGGAGACGAGAAGGTTGCTGTTTGCAGACGACGTTGTTTTATTGGCATATTCTGAATTTGATCTACAGTACCCTCAGGAAAGGTTCGCAGCCGAGTGCGACGTGACCGGCATGGCTGTGAACTAAAAAGGAAATGAAATTAAAATCTAAAACGAAATGTCTAGTGTTCTCGTTCTCCTGCATGCTGCTTTCTTCAGATTAACGGAGAGGCAGTGGAGCAGGTAGGGAATTTGGAGTAACTCGGAGTCGTGTTCACTAATAATGGACAGTTTTAGGGAGAGACCATCCTGCGAATTGAAGTAGCCATTGGCGTTCTGCTTGGATTGGCCTAAACCATTGTGACTAAGGCGGTGCTCAGCCTGAAAACTAAGCTCTCGGTGTTCAAGTCGATCTTTATCCGTATGCTTGCCTGCGGTCATGAGTCGGTGACCATGACTAAAATGGGTACAAGCTGCTGAAATGGGCTGTCATAGACGAGTCGCTGGCTTTACTCGTCTCGACGGGGTCCGGAATTCTGACAGCCGGGAGAGCCTTGGAATGCAACCTTTGCTTCTCCAA